GAACCATTAGAAATATTGTTGCTTCTGAACGCCATCAATGAGATATAAAAAAACATGGAAAGTGATTATCAATCACAGTCCACCTAGGATGGAAAAAACACAAATGATAAGTGCCTTGAATAAAAGATCACAGAATCACAAAATGGTTGAGGTTGGATCCAAACCAATGTACCTGCTCAAGCAATGATACTCAGACCAGGTTGCCTAGGATCATGTCCAGATGGCTATTTAATATTTTCAAGGATGAAGATTCCACAACAATTTCTGGGCAAACTGCTCCAGTGTCCATATTAAAAAGCTGTTTCAGCTTTAAACAGACCCTTCTGTTTCCTTGTTTGCATTGCCTCTTGTCTTGTGATTGAAAAGTGCCTAACTTCATCTTCTTTGCACCCTCCCTTCAGGTGCAAATACACACTGGTGAGTTTCCCCTTGAGCCTTCTCCAGGCTGAACAGACCCAACTCTCTCAGCCTTTTCTTGCAGGAGAGGTGCTCCAGTCCCTTCAATATCTTCATGGTACTTCACTGTTTTGCTCCAGTAAGACCACATCTCCTTTGTACTGGGAAGCCCAGAAGTGAACATGGTACTCCAGTGAACTCACCAGTGCTGAATAAAAAGGAAGGATCACCTCCCTTCACCTGCTGGCAACACTCCTTCTACTTGCAAACCAGGAAGATGTTGACCTACTTTGTGTCAAGGGCATATTTCTGACTCGTGTTCAACTTGTTGCCCACGAGGACACCCAGAGGCATTTGTGCAAAGCTGCTTTCTAATTCCTCTTGTTAAACTTCATAAGGTTGCTGACAGCCCATTTCTCCAGCCTCTTGAGGTCCCTTTGGATGGCAGCCCAAGCCTCTAGTATATCAGCCAGTCCTCCTAATTCTGTGTCATCTGCAAAATTGCTGAGGCTACACTCTGCCTCATCCTCTAGATTATTAATGTAGACCTTGAACCTCATGTACCTCATATTGATTCTTGGGGCACACTGTTAGTTACAGGCCTAAAAGTAGACTTTTTACCAAAACCAAAACACTTTGAACACAGCCATTTCTTGTAAGCTTAGACAGTGTCTCTATATTCCTCCCAGGTTACCTGTCTCTGCTTCCACCTTTCATATATGCTTTTTAAGTTTAAGCTTTGCCAAGAGTGCCTTGCTCATCCATGCAGGGCCCCTGGCATTTTTATTTGACTTTCTTATTGGGATGACTTTTGTAAGATATGATCCTTGAATATGAAAAACATCGCTGAGAAAAATCATGCTCAATAGACTGACAGAAATACTACTTGTAACTGAGAATACAAAATATTTGGCAGTGGCAGTTATGTTTATCATATTTTTGGATAACAGAAAGTGTTTCCTTTTTATTATTGCTCGTCTTAATGTAAGGTTAACTTTTCAATACTAATTAATTTATTTGTAGAAACAATGCGCACTTAGGAAGTGGACTGATTGCCCACTGTACATAACAGGGGATCAATAGACTAAGAAGCTGACAGTTTTTGTGCACCTCATTCTTCCTTTGTTCTTACTGTCACAACATATGTTTCTGTTACATTATTGGGAGGGTTATTTTAGAATAAAGAGAGGAGTCTGGCAGCAGGGTAAAGTCTACAAGACGTGCAGACTAGCAGCATAAAGACCAAAATCTGCTGGTTTTCTTTCTGTTTTATTCATGATTGTAGTTTAAGTGGAACATGTATTCCGGAGACAAAAGAAAAGGAAGTATTGAAAATGATGTTATCAAAGCCCAGAGAGGATAGTACAAGAAGAATGAGATGGAAAGTAAAGTATTCCTGCTCAGTCTAAGCTAGCTTTATTCACTAAAAGTGATAACAGTGAAAAAATGGAACATTTGCATATTTATGGAAGGCAGTGGGAAAGTTGGAACACGAGAAGTATTAAGGTACCTGAAAAGAAAGTAGGAGAATGTGTTTGAAAAGACAAGTACACAACCTAGAGCTGGAAAACAAGAATCATAGAATGGTTTGGGTTGGAAGACACCTTTAAGATAATCTAGTTCCAAGTGCCCTGCCATGGGCAGGGACACCTTCCATAAGACAGGACTGCTCAAAGTTCCCTCCAGCCTGGCCTTGAACACTTCCAGAGATTCCACAACTTCTTCCAGAGATTCCAGAGAAGATTCCAGAAGAAGATTCCAGGGAAGCCACAACTTCTGTTTGCAACCAGTTTCAGTGTCTCATCATCAGCATAGTGAAGATTTTTTTCTGAATGTCCAGTATAAATCTCCCTGCTGTCAGCCTAAAGCTAGTTCATCTTGTTCTGTCACTACTTGCCCTTGTAAAAAGTCCAGCTTTCTTTCAGGGCCCCCTTTAGATGCTAGAAGGGGGTGCATAGATGCTGGAAGGTCTCCATAGAACCTGCTCTTCTCCAGGATGAACAAGCCCAACTCATTCAGCTTGTCTTCATAGGAAGTGTGCTCTAGCCTTCTGATCATGTTCATGGCCCTGCATGCTACATGCATTGGCATAGAGACATTTCAGCTAGGAACCTGATGATGATGAGTTATTGGCTGGAGTGGCTGGAAGTCACCTCGTCAGGTGCTCCATTTCTGACCTGTGATCCCTCTTCAGGCTCTGGGCATCTGCTATTAGCACCAACATCAGACTAGTAGGATTGGGATGGATTGAGGTTATCCTCAACCAGCAACTTTAGTTTATGGAGGCCAGTAACAAGTGGTGTCCGCAGGGATCGGTGTTGGGACTGGTCTTGTTAAATATCTTTGTTGGTGACATGGACAGTGGGATTGAGTGCGCCCTCAGCAAGTTTCCCGATGACACCAAGCTGTGTGGTTCAGTTGATACGCTGGAGGGAAGGAATGCCATCCAGAGGGACCTTGACACGCTTGTGAGGTGGGCTGATGTCAGCCTTATGAAGTTTAACCATGCCAAGTTCAAGGTCCTACACCTGGGTCGGAGCAATCCCAGGCAGAGCTACAGGTTGGGCAGAGAAGAGATTCAGAGCAGCCCTGCGGAGAAGGACTTCGGGATCCTGGTCGATGAGAAAATGAACATGAGCCAGCAGTGTGCGCTTGCAGCCCAGAAAGCCAACTGTATCTTGGGCTGCATCAAAAGGAGTGTGACCAGCAGGTTGAAGGAGGTGATCCTGCCCCTCTAGTCTGCTCTCGTGAGACCTCACCTGGAGTACTGTGTGCAGTTCTGGTGTCCTCAACATAAAAAGGACACGGAACTGTTGGAACAAGTCCAGAGGAGGGCCACGAGTCTGATCTGGGGACTGGAGCACCTCCCGTATGAAGGCAGGCTGAAAAAGTTGGGGCTCCAGTTCAGCCTGGAGAAGAGAAGGCTGTTTGGAGACCTCACAGCAGCCTTCCAGTATCGGAAGGGGGCCTATAGGGATGCTGGGGAGGGGCTCTTCATTAGGGACTGTAGTGATAGGACAAGGGGTAACAGGTTAAAACTTAAACAGAGAAAGTTTAGATTGGGTGTAAGGAAGAAATTCTTTCCTGTTAGGGTGGTGAGGCACTGGAATGGGTTGCCCAGGGAGGTTGTGAATGTTCCATCCCTGGCAGTGTTCAAGACCAGGTTGGACGAGGCCTTGTGTGATATGATTTAGTGTGATGTGTCCCTGCCCATGGCAGGGAGGTTGGAAGTAGATGATCTTAAGGTCCTTTCCAACTCTAACTATTCTATGATTCTATGATTCTAAAGCCTTCTCCACAGTTTGGCAAGCCTGTTATTGAAGATACTCTTCCCTTTTGCTGAGAGGTGGACTTCATCAGGCCCTAGAAGAAAGTAGTAAACCATCATGTGATGGAGAGTACCTCCTATGATGATGGAAGAGGTGAAGCAATAAACAAATTAATATACCATGAAAATTCTAACTTCTGTGCCACCAAAAAGCAGAAATTCCCTGCTTAACACAATAACAAGAAGCCAGTTGAGGTTTGGGGTTTTTTTATTTGCTTTTTTTTTATCCCCCAACCAGTCTTTCATTATGGAAGAAAAGATAAATCATCATTTACCCAGATTATTTGTATGTGATAAAATAACTTAAGAATACTTGGCAGCTAAAATTGGCTATTTTCCCAAAGGGCCAACACCCAATGCATTCCACAAAAGCAGGAAGGAAAAAAGGTGTGAATAAGATGAAGAAGAAACAAGTCAGTTTAGAAAGGAATATCTTTGCATGACAGAAATGCTGTTGGTACAAAAGCAATTATCTTTTCCACCCAAGCTACAGATAATATAATCAGACCAGTGTGGAGCTAGGGCATAATTAAACACATCCAAAAGCAGTGTATAAAGATATGCACATCTGAAAGAAATGGTGCTTTTAATTGTATCTTCATACAGTGACATTCATATATATGCTGTAAAGATGATTCCTGCTTTCAGTGTGTACTTGGCACTCATCAGTTTTGGGTTGTGTAGTTTATAGGACCTCTGTAAGCCTGACTTCTAGTGAGAAAGATTTAAATAAATGAGTTAGAATGGACATCCATATGGTAGAGATTGACACTGATTTGTGATGGTGAACAGATAGCTTTAACTTTTGGAAAGGCTACAGTTCTGTTTTCACAAACTGTTAAGGTAATTTACTGATAGATATACTGCCTCTACAGTTACTGCAGGTTTTGGTAATACCTCTGGTTTACTTAATGAGCTAATAGCATAGGTTCAGTTATGAAACTATGTTTTAGCACTAAAAATAGTAGTTGAAAAAGTGTTGGTCTAGCACAGTGACATAGCAAGAAAGTGTTTAAAATAATGTGTTTGAAAACATACTTGTTGTTTCATGAACACTTTAATCAGAAAATCTCTGATTCAGATCATTTAATATATGACCACTGTCAATCCAGACTCTTTTACATCAGTGTTAATCGCAAAATTCTGCTTTGTATTGCTGCCTTTCAATACCAGTTTGCAGAACTTATTTAGAGTCAGGCTACTTTTTCTGTTTCTTGAATGCTTTAGAATTGTGGCGTTACTCTAAAAATGAAAAGTGTTTTATTTTCTTTTTCAGGGAAATTTTGAAGAGTCTTACACTTTTAATCCTCCAGTCATTGATTGCGCTGTGAGGACATTGAGGTGAGGTGGTAAGTCGGTGTAGATCTTTTGCTATATTCAGTTAAAATTGTAATTTCAGATTTAACTGCTGAAACAATATCCTTCGGTGTTGTGTCAGTGTGACAGAAGTTGAGAAATGTCTTCCTGGCAAATTCCCAAAAAGATTGATTTTGTATGTAGGAAGTCTGAATCATAGCAGCATCAGATTTGTTCTGAACTTGCACAACAGCTTTATATCATATGAATAGAGCAGTTGATTCATACATGCTCAGTGACTGTTTTCCAGAAATTCTAGTTTCCTATACATCTGAAAAACTGAGTGATTGTTGTAGTTAGTTTGGCAGAGCATGAGTCATTCAGCAATGCTTGATATTATCAGCTTTTCAAATTTCAGTAATCTATTTGTTAACTACTTGTCAGTCTTTTTTCAGAATTTTCCCTCTCCCCAGTATGGCAAATCTGTAAAGGCTTTTCTTTTCCTGACTACAGAGAGGGTTGATAGATTTAAGAGGTCACTGTTCCCTGGATAAGCAAATTTTTTGAAGCTCAAATAAGTTACATGACTTCAGCTGATCTCAGCAACACTCTGGTAACTCTTATATAAAAGTCCCAAGCTGGGGAAGCATGTCTGAAATAAGTTTATTTTTAATTTTTATTCTTAGACCCTAAGCAGATAAACCAGGAGCAAAGGTCACATATTTCTATGTGTCAGAGCAGTTGTGGATATTAAGGGTCCAGTGACTTTAAGTCATAGTTCAAAGAATCATGACTGGTGACTCACTATTTCTGACCTCTAGCTGCTTGGCCAGTCAATCTTAATAAACCATGGTTTGGAGTTTTTTGGTGGTTGTGGTTTGTTTTTTGTTTGTTTTTTTTTTTTTTGTTTGTATGTGTGTGTTTGGGGATTTTTTTTGGTTTTAGTTGGTTTTAGTTGGGTTGTTTCTGCAGTTTTTTTGTTGTTAGTGGTTTAGGGGTTTTGTTTTTGTTTGGGTTTTTTTTTTTTTTTTTTACTTTGTTTTGTTTTGTTTGTGGATGTTTCCTTGGGATTTTTGGCAGTTTGGGGATTTTTTTATGAACTGAAAACATTACTGCTGGAGCTTGAGTATTCAGAAATATAAAACTTCATCTTTCAATGAGAAATCATATGGATTTGTTTAGCTGGATTCCATTTTTGTGTTATTTTTCTCTATTTCTACCCATCCATTAATAAAACTAGAAAAACAGTTTTAAGGCTTCAGTTATACATCTTTGTTATAAGAAGAAGGTTAATGTTCCCAAATTTAAGGATTACAAGAAAACCTCTCAAAGTACCAGATACTGAAAATAATAAAGTTGCATGCTATTTCATTTTCTGGACCTAAAAATGGTCATACATATGTAAATATTATGTATATCAATTGCAGAGTAAGGACCACTGGTGTAGCATAAATTCTTATTCTTTGCTTTATTCTATTCTTGTTGATAAATGAGTTTACAAAGTAAAACATGATAAAATTCTTTTTGACTTTAATATATAAAGATCACCCAGTCAAGAGTCTGTTTGCAGATATTTGTTCTGATAAGTCTTCTGAGTGACTTATTTTTGTTGTATCATTGAAGTATAGTGTCAGCTACTAAATCTTGGTCTAAAAGCAGAAGTGAGTTCATACAAGCAGTGTCCATGTATTTGAGTTAATACTAACAACAGAATTCCATTTTGATATCAAGTTTCCTTTGAAAGGATTTTTTTCTTCCTTTTGCAAATCAGTAGTAGATTAAAGTGCGATCTAAATCATGTCATTTGCTCATCCTTTTATTTAGTTAGTGAAAATATAAATTACTATTACTGGAAGTAATAAAATTATCCCTTTGACTTGGTTATTCTTAGTGTAAAGCTGTAAATCTTTTCCATGCAGTAATGTATTTTACCTTAATTAATAAACATGTTCTTAGAACAAATTCACATTCTTAAAGCAAAAACTTATAAATGCAGATCTGATTTATTTCTGCCTTCTCTTGCAGTAGTGTCTTTTTAAATTTAATATGAAGTTAATATTAATATTAATTAATATTAATTAATCTTAATTAATATTTATAATTATATTATATAATTATAATTAATTATATAATATCTAGCATATATAGTTATAGAATTATAATTAATAATTAATATTAATTAATATTTATATTTCACAGTTAAAAAAGTCTTGATTCACTGCAGTTCAATTGCTACATTTTCTTGTAAAATTGCAAATCTTGAATAAAGGTGTTTACTTATGATTTCCTGGACTGAAATCCTGTTATCTTATAAAATATAAGAAATACCTTTGAAGGAATCAATAGTAATGAAAAGCCAATGGGAAATAAAAATGGAGGAAAAAAAAAAAAAAAAAGACTCAATTAATACCAAGGTTTAAGTGGCTTAAGATTTTTGTCAGTTTTATATTTCCAGATCTGTGACAGATATACAGTGATATGCAGTTTTCAACTTCCATACATTTTGCTATTTCAGATGTTATGGAGAAAAAGAATACAAATTATGCAAACTTTCTCATTTACTGAAATTAATTTAGCAAAGTTTCATAATATTAAAAAAGCCTGTTCAAAGTTGAGTAGATGTTGCCTTCTGTTGTATATCAGTTTCCTTTAACCAGAAGTTCAGTCCTTTGTTTTTCTCTGCTTGGTGAGCACAGTGTCAGCTCTGAAAATATTAGCATGCAATTCTTAAGGGGGAAATTTTGGCTGTGCAGAAATATAAAGCATAATTCTCAGACTTCAACGTGTCTCAGATTCTGTGTGTAAACTTTGATGAACAGGGTTGTGGATGTGGCACTTTCAATGATAATTCAAATACATCTAAGAGGAGACAGCAGGTCTTCATTATTTAGAATTAATTTTTTGTGCTGTATGAAAAGGATATAAAACGTAGATATAGGTAAATAGGATGCAATAACTTACTTTTTGTGAGATAAAGGAGGCAGTTAATAATGAACTTATTCATAAGAACACATGAGTATTAAATAAATGTATTAAAATTATTTGCACTAACAGTTCAGTAGTTTAGCAAGTTGAAATTAGAATATTAAAGCTTTAACCTCTAGGCCAGTTTAGATTGGTTGAGTTTGAACATTTTTTTAGCTTGACAGTTACTTGGCTTCCTGAAATGTGATGGTGGAGTGAGTTCAAATGCTGAGGATAAAAAAAAACAAAACACATTACAAAGCAATAGCATGACATGACAGTAGTTCACATCTTGCAATCACAACAGAAGGTTCAAAGCCTGGATGTCTATGCAAAGACAACTGCACTTCAAATGAAAAATAGGTCTTGTGGCTCAAAACTGATGAGGTGACCTGTGAAAAAATGAACTTCTTCCTCTGGCCCCTTGCCCCAGCAGTATTGCAGTTGTGGTTAAAAAATTTGAGTTCATTTAGCTACTCTTCACCAGCACAAAGTTCACTTTACCACTTAATCAAGATTAAAATTAGGGAGAAAAAAAGTACCTCTTGTCTTTTGATAAAATCTGTATTGTTCCTAAAAATATGCTTGTGAAAATGAGAATAGCATAGTGTCAAGCAGTAATTTCTCCTGAAGGAATAATGATTAGGAAACAGTGCTAATGGACCTACAGAAAATCTGGGTACAGCTCAGAAACATTATTAATTAAAATATTTTTGTCCCCAAAACTAAAGGTATTTTAATTTAGTTCTTCTTGAGTGCTGTCATTGTGTGGATAGAAACCTGAATCAAGCATATCTTCATTTTGAAAACACGCATGTTTAGAGCATCAATGTATTTCCTTCTTAATGATCTTTTACAAATTATTTTCAATGAAATAAAATGTAAACCATTCGTAATCTGTATGTTTTCCCCAAGTAAATGTTGGTGTATCTCCCAAATATGCAACACACAACAAATAGAAGTGAAAAAATATACAGTTCAGTATTTCTCAGTAGCTGTGTGCTGACCTTAGTAGACAAGACACAAAAGATAATCCATAGAGCTACAAAGCAGAAAAGGTTGTAATCTGAAAAAAGAAAATGTTGCTTTTCCATATATATATTTTTACCTTTCTCAAACAAGTAATTATGAACTCATGCAACACAACTTCTTTGGGCTAATTATGGCATATTAATAGCAATACATATGAATATATTGAGAACCAAAATATTTTAAAGAGCATTTTTAGTGTCACCTGTTCTTATGCATGTATGTTAATCTTCTCTTATAAATATCATATGTATACCTTATGATCACATGTTCAAAAATGTGTGCGTGTGATCACCAGTTTTCCTAAATATTAGGACCATTTAAGAAAAAAATATTATTTCACAAAGGCCATTTTACGACTTTGTACAGCTTTTAGGGACGTTATTGCATGGTGAGAGGTGTATATGGCTAAAAAGTAATTCATTATTCACTGAGAACACCTTTTTATCTGAGTCATGATGTGTTTTTCACTAAAAAACAAAACTTTGTAGTGAAAAAGCTTATTTTCCCTCACAGTGTTATTTGTAGAGTACAGCACACTTTAGAAACATTAAAAAAAAATTATAACTGTCCCAAATTCTTTTGCTTAGCAAATTTGAATTTTTTTGTTTTGTTTTGTTTTTTGAGCTTTTCATTTCTATATTATAATTCTTATCTCAAAAATATTTATTGTGTTGTCTGAAACTAACAGTGATACTGTAACTGGAATCAAAATTAACGTCCTTCTATATCAAGACAATCACAGTGTTTGTGTGTATATATATGTATATACAAATAATTTTAATAGGTGTTAATGGAATTCTTTTTATAGAACAGTGCAGTTGGTAAAGAAGGCTTTGTGTGGAAATTACCATGTGATCTAGGATAGTGACAATCTATCCAGAATAAACAGGGATTGAAGATCGGTTGCATTTTATGCAAGTTATGAGATAGGATATGAGACTCCCGAAGACAAGTCATCTAAAGTGATTTTTTTTTTAATTTATGGTTTTCATTTTTCATTTAAATGTACGTTCACTACTTCACTTTGCTTTGTTCTTTCAACATCCCATGATGTTAC